AAGAAGATTGGCGCTAGCTGGTCAAAGTCCATCAAAAAAATTTGACTCTATGCTAGCTAATCACCATCTAAATCACATTCACAGTTCAGCTATGAGTGCGTCTGCAAGACACAAACTAATAAACAAAGTTCAACACTTACATTTCCACCTCCTGGTGTATGTTTTGTCTTATCTAATGATCCAATTTTAGATTTGACGTTACTGGTATCTGGTCTTGGTGAGGGTGTTGATAGAGGGGTTCTTGGGGTGGGGGTTCTCTTGGCTGGAAAGAAACAGAAACAGGTTTTAAAATATTGTCACTGAAATTGAATGAAATTAAAAAATATGTGCTCACCTTTAAATCCTTGCTGCTTGCAAAAAGAAAAAACTCAAAAACACATGTTAGTACATTGTAACGGGGCTTACACAAATTCAACTGCCTTAAGAATTGTATTTTCTGGAGTTCTACCCTCAAAAGCAAGCCTTTCCATGATTTCGCAACTTTTCTGTATTTCTTGGTAGGAGCTTGATTTCAAGGTAAAGGTCCAATACATAGTTTTTATTTCGGGCCAAAATTCACCATGTAAATTGATTATATCATAATTTGTTCCTTCATGGATATTTTGGAACTCAAGCATGACACCACTGTCAGCAACATAGAACAGTCTTGATGTAGGGTATGCTATATCAGGGCTGTCATATCACAGAAATTTTAATCAATAGGTATAAAAGAATCCATTTGTGACTTAGTTGATTAGTTTATGTACTAAATACTTGTCTACTTTACCGTATCTCAAAGAGAATAATTGAAAAGCATGAAAAAAAGAAATAACCGACCAATTCTGCTGGGAGATGCCTTAGGTGATGCTTTAGGTGAGTCTACAGGTTTGGAAGCCATCTTGATTTTTGCAAAAGTATAAAAGTTTCTGAGGTATATAATAACACAGTATATGTTATAAGGCTGCCTTAAATTGAGCAAATACAAATCCTTTCTTTACACCACACCAACTGTCATTCAGACGGCAAGAGCTAACATGAAGTTACTTTCTCAAAATTTTTAGAACACATTTAAGTCATAGTCATTAATTCCAAAACAGTACTTTCTAGTCCAGTCTTTTGAATTCACATTTCTGAAAAAGAATGGATACTTCAAATAGGATTCCAAAATTTGCAATAGATTCACAGACATTTTGTTCATGAATTCCATCTACTAAAGACCTAACTATGTGAAAATTATCAAAAATGCCAACATATCATTTTACACAGCTCCTGGCATATTTTGATAATATGATGGAATGGTTGATCACAAAATTCATAGATGACATCCAAATGTTCAATCCATTGGTATTTTAATGCCGTCTGTGAAGCTTGAAGACCAAGATCGACAAAAAAGAACCTGGCAACGTATTCTCAACAATTTTAGCGCTAGGATGTCCTAGGCTCTTAACTTTTTACACTGTTTT